TGACTTTCAGCTTGTTGTGTTTGTGGATATATGACTGACTTTAATTATCCACAAAATCATCACGTTCTCTGTCAGATTAAGGTCGATTAGGTAAGGTATTGAACGACATTGACATGTGGCCAACAGTAATGTTTTAATGTTCTTCATTATTAAACCTTCGCACATAAATAAGTGACATAACATTCAGTACTTACTTTTAAAAGTTTACTCTTCGGCAGCTCCGCTTCAGCCGTCTGCCGTATTTTTTGGCAAAATTATCCACACCCACCGCTGCGCTATGAATTGTGGGATGTATGGGACCACGAAGTCTACAACGGACCACACTTCAAATTTGGGGAAATTGATGGCGCATTTGGCAACTGCATTTGGAGTACATTTCGGATCGGGACAGCCGTCGTCGCGTCACTGTGACGTAATCGGTCTCAAAATGCGTACTCCGAAATGTGCGGTCGCTGGATTGGGACACAGCCTGGTTCTTCTTCTTCGGGGTTTAACGGCAGCTGGCATCCTTGTACATGCAGTGCTGCCATCTTCTGTTTCAGTCTGTTATTACACTCTTAAATCCTACTACTTATTCCTGCATCTTTCGGGGTCTTACAAAGCTTCAAACGACACATTGACTATTAAATTAGTCGTCAACGATTTTGATAGTCGACGTAATCGTGACTAGTTGACAAATTGTGGGAGCCCTAATACAAACCACTGCAGAAATAAATACCTACAGCATGCTCTAATAAATATTATGCTTGACCATAATAATTTAATAAAATATTATGGTCAAAAGTATTGAACGTTGCGTGAGGTCTAACAAGTACAAGTATAGAGATGAGTCCACTGTCAGAGGCCATAAGAAGATTAACTGTAACCTTCACTAAAGCTGTTTCTGTGCTGTGATGAGCTCTGAAACCTGACTGAAACTGTTCAAATAAGCCATTCCTCTGCAGTAGTTGGCTTTTTTAAAATGATTTTTTTCAAGAATCTTTGAGATAAAAGGAAGATTAGAGATTCATCTATAATTTGCTAAGACAGCAGGGTCAAGAGATGGCTTTTTAAATCAATGTTTGGGTTTTTTGTGTGACTTTCTACAGAAAAGAGAACAGAAGTCTGAACAGACCAACGGCCTGCCAGAGAAATCGTCCTCCAAGCGCTCCGCTTCTCCATCCGTGGAGCTGGAGCTCAACGCTGGCCCACTGCGGCTTGACGGTCTTCCTCCGGGGGCCGGAGCTGCAGGCCCTGGTCTACGAGTGGCCCAGGTGCGACTATTGGACCGCAGAACCAGCAGCAGGCCAAGCAGCCGACCCGGGACTCCAAATTCCAACACTTCATCCACCCCAACCCCCTCAGAGGAGCAGAACGATGGAGAGGAGGAGGCAGCAGAGCCTGAGGATGAAGTTCAGGGTGCAGAGCTCGAGAGTTCTACAGTTTCTGCTCCGACACCGCGACTCCTCAAAAGGCCCTTTCAGCTCCTAATAGCAGCTGCTATGGAGAGAAACCCCACTCAGTTTCAGCTGCCGAGTGAGCTCACGTGCACCACTGCACTACCAGGTCAGTCAGTCATAACGGCTACCAAAATATGATTTCTTTCAGCACCCTAAATTTAAAATACCTCTTTATATATGCAGTTTAGACTGTGTCTTCAATGTTGCTCTTTTGTTTGGATTTCTAGGCAGCAGTAAACGGAGGAAAAAAGAAGAGCTGCTTGGAAAGCCCTTCAGGAGGCCTCAGCATGAACTGGATCCCAATGGTCTAGTCCCTTTGCCAGTCAAAATCTGCTTTTCATGCAACAGGTCAGCAGTTCTAGAGCACAGTGCAAAGAGGTAGACGAAGCCCCGAAGTGATGACAGCAGGTACTAATTCTATTTATTTGGTCTCTCAGGAGTTGCAGGTTGGCTCCGCTGATCCAGTGCGATTACTGTCCCCTCCTGTTCCACATGGACTGTCTGGACCCTCCACTCACAGCTTTACCTGCCGGCAAATGGATGTGTCCAAACCATGTCGAGCACTTAATAGTAAGATGGACTGTGCTGATTCTAAGCTAAAGCTGCTTTCCTTTTCCTTTTATTGATATCAATTTTTATTGATATATTTTTCTATTTTATCTCAAATGTTTGTTTGCCGTGCAGCTGAATCAGAGGAGCCTCAGCCTGTCCAGCCGCTGTCAGCTCTTCGATCAGTTCCAGGACAGGATGTCCCAGCACGCAGTTAAGTTGGACTTCCTGCGTAGAGTACATCGACAAAATGCTCCCATCCGGCGCACCGCTCACCAGCGCAACAAGAAAACCATCAAGGTAGACGTGCGTCTCAGTGTGACGGTGCAGTGTGTTGGATTTCATATAATCCTTTTTTCTTGGCCACTGGAACACAGGTGGAGATCTAGGAAATGAATGGCTTTAATAATATATCTGTTACACTAAGACAGTAATACCTAGATATAGGGCTGGGCTATATCATACCGTTCACGCTAATACCGGTGTAATGTTGGGCAACGATAAGAAAATGAAATATCGCGATAGAATATGGGTAAAACACGCATGCGCAGTGCCTTTGTTTACATACGCACATGGTGGCGACGGAGAATGAGGAGGGTGAAAGCGGCTCATTGAATGAAACAGATGAACCAGAACTGGTTTGTAAAAATGCTGCAGCTTCAGTGGTGTGGAACTGGGTTTGCTTTTGTCCGTCAGATACACAACAAAGCACTATTTTTGGTAGCTAGCATGCTAGTGGGCCGTCATTACTACCGTGTTGTTTGGAAAATACGGCACACTTAAAATCAATCCTTTGATTTTTCTGAAAATCAACAGAGCCCCTTATAATCCCGTGTGCCTTATGTATGAACTCTGGTTGTGTTTACTGACCTCGAAACGATTTTATGTACATGGCGTCGAAAATCTGTCAGATGTTTTAATACGACTTTGCTAAGCTACGAAGCCGCACCGCTTGATGGATTGTCGGAGCATTACGGCTATCGTAGGCAGGAGTGATACGTACTGTGCTTCAACATAATATTACCGTATTGTGTGTGTATAACCTCTTTTTAAGTTTTGTGGATATTAAACATGGTTATGCTGAGGATATGTCAGCCAGTTTCCACTGGAAATGCCTTTTGGTTAAACTGTCAGCAACAAATTTGCATTTGCACTGTTAATTTTTTATATAACTTTAATGCACATAAAAAACAGCTGCTCGTTTAAGTGAAAAAACATTGATGGATTTTGTTTTTTTTTTTGCACTAATAAAGTTGAGGAGTTGTAAAGTGTTTTTGTCTAGTGTCAGTTATGTCGTTATCGCAAATTTTCAAATGTATATCGTGATAAATATTTTCGATCATATCGCCCTGCTCTACCTAGATACTGACATACTGTCTTTTTTTCAGCTTCTGAAATTTAAGCAGTTGTGCACTTGTATGTGAAGTGACCTTTGTGAGTTAGATGCTATTTTTAGACACATCTGAACATACTGGTTAATTTGTTAGCAAGTGTTAAATTGTCTCTAACAGTCAGTGTTTTTTTTTTTTCTTTCAGGTGCCAGATGCCATCAAGTCCCAGTACCAGAATCCTCCGCCCATGCTGCTTCCTGCAGGGGTGCGCCAGCTGGAGCTGGTTTGTAGTGGGATTCCTGACCATCAGCCCACAAAGCATTTCACCACAGAGGCTGAGCAGCACGAGGTAGGCACAAGAGAAACCAGCAGCTGCCTAACATGTTCTTTAAGTCAGATTGTAATGATAGTTCCCTGAAACAGGCTTTTGTGTGCTACAATCTATGTCATTTGATGTAATAGGATGTGAGATTAATAGGAGTGCAGTTTAAAGATGATTGATTGCTTTCCTTTTCATTTTGGATGATTGGATGAGAGTTTGGACAAGAAGTTTTTAGAGAGTTTGATTTTTGGTGTAGATGAGTGAAACACTGACACATCCTGTGTACTGTGTTTATCAGAAAATTCAGTTTCAGAAGTTCTGAAAGCTGAACCAACTGCTTCACGGCACTTCCAAACCTTTAGATTGCAACAGTTGCATTAGAAAGTCTGTTTTTTTCACAGACTGTGTAGACTGTAGAGCTTTGAGTAATTAATTGAAAATTGCAGCAAAAGATAAATTCTGGTATCTGTTTGTTTGTGTGATATAAATGAATCCTTGATGAAGGGGAGGGCCTCTCGACAGAACTGCTGGTTGCTTCTTTATAAAAACATATATGTGTTGTGTTGAACAGTGGCTTCAGGATGTCATCGCTCTCCAGTGCAGTATCATGCGACACCTATCCATCAAACAGAAGGCCTCATCAACAGAGTGGCACTTTGAGCAGAAAGCAAATACACAATCAAGTGGAGCATCAGAGGACATGAAAACTCAGGCCTCATTAGAAAGGACTTCTTCCCCTGACCCCTGCTCTAAAGCTTGCAGTACACCCAGTGACTCCCAGGGGGCCTCTCTTTCCAAGGACAGCCCATCAGGGCTAGCTCTTTGCAAATGCACCGCGACACCATGTCAGAACTGTAGGAAACCTAACGGACCTCTGGAATTGGTTCAGCCTCCCAGAGCCAATGGACCTGTAGACTGTAACAGTGCCTCAGATTCCTGCAGGCAGGCTGAGCTACAGAACAGACTGAAGCCTGGGAAAACGCCATCAGCTTCTGCCTCTGGACTGGTGAACCACATAGGAACAGAAACGGTTAAGAAGGAACCCGAGAGCACTGTAAATGCATGTGCCCAACAGAACTGCCCCACTGCCCCCACGATATGGCCCCACAGTGGCCAACAGAACCACAAGAGCCAGACAGAGCCCCAGGAGGAGTGTGTGAGCACCGATGAAAAGCCCTCCATCTCAATCACCAGCAGTTCCTTGACAGATGCGCCATCTAGAGGCAGCCAGGAGCACGACACAGTAAAGTCTGGATCAGCACCTACTCCAGGTACACATCATCAGATATGTCAAAGCTGCAGTCTTAATGTATCACTTTATACAGCTAATAATAATAATAATAATGATAATAATAATAATTTATTTTAATAATACTTTAATGTGTAAGAGATAATGTACAGTAGCTACAGTGATTACGAGGGCCCCACCCTGGAGCCAGGCCTGGGGAGGAGCTCAAGGGAGTCTAACCAGAGACTGTGTTTTAGCCCATGCAGTCTGGCTGTGTACAGGCTAAAGAGATGACATGGGCCCACCCCCCCATGTGCTCACCACTTGGAGGTGTTGTGGAGGTTCTGTGCAGTGTGTGTCAGTTGGCAGTAAATGGGGGCCATGGTGTGTATGAGAAAACATTTAATTTAAGGCTATAGCAACATTATTTTACATATTTAAATTAATATAAATACATTTTTAACATTAAGAAATTGTGTTAATAGTCATGCTGTTAGGCTGAATTATTATTAGTATTAACATCTCCACTTTCATAACGTCTGTTTTGCATTAAAGCACAGAAAAGGCCTCAGAACTGAGAATGGTTATATGCTCACCTTTCTTCACTGCAGGCACTACATGCTTGTTTGAAGGCTTATACACATTCACTCGCACACTTTAACATACATGCAATCACACGCGTGCACACTGACCAACTCTGCTTCATCCAGGAGATGCAATACTGTCAGAACATTTTTTTTTCCCTCATAATGTAAGAAAGAGCTCCATGAAAATGGGAAGAAGGTCATTTTATTTCATGGATGGATGGGGTGCATAGCTTATTTTATTTGGCAGGGAAAAAAATGTAAAATTGTGATTCTGTTATTTAAATTTTTAATAATTTATCAGTTTTTTCTCTTTAGGAAAATGTTTCTTCAAGAAAGTGGAAATGTGATTGTGATATGGGATGTAAATACAGAGAAAGAGTTGAGCTCTTTTTGCAGATACTGTGTATTGTTAAACTATCAAAACAAGCATTTTCTAAAGTGGAAACAAATGAAAAGTTCATTTTAAAAGACCTGAATTTTCTCTCTTTTGAATGTTTACTGTCTATTAATTGAATACTCACTGCTGACATAATCGATGGTGCTAACAGTTTTCTTGCATATTTTGTATCGTGCAGCCCCATTTACCAAAAGGATACATGGCCATTTAAGAGCACATTTTATTTTCAGTTATGGAGTTATGAAGAAACAAAAGTTATTCAGATACAACTTGCTTTGCCTTCTATCTCAGTAATAGTTCCTGTGCACTTTTTTCCTGTATAGTGAACTATCAAAAACTGTCTTTTTTCTGGTCCTTCTTTTATCTCATCTCATCAATTTGTCTTTTTTTTGCCTCCTGTCCCTCAGACATAAAGGTTGCTCCTGCACTGACGGACTCACTGCTGCCCAACACACTGCCCTCCATCACCAACCTGTCCAGCTGCATGAAGGATGGAAAAGAGGAGGATGGGGGTGAGTTTGTCACTCTGTGGCCACATGTGACAGTTTAAGAGCCTTCGTATTGCTGTGTTCTGCTATGAAGCACACGAAGACGTAATTAGCTTTTAGCGGTTGTGTGTTTGTGTGTGTCCAGGGATCGAGCTGGACAAACTGGATACAGAGATGATCAAGCTCTTGGCCTATCAGAGGATCCAGCAGCTCTTTGCTCCCAAAGTGCCCAGCACTCAACCTCCCCCCACCACCAGCACTACCCCAAAAACCTCAGCACCCCACCCAAACAGTAAGACACCTTTGCACTACAATTTAGTCTGTTTATTTGTCAAGAAGTCAGTTTTTCTGCTGTTTGATTGCTGTTTTGTTCTAATTATTAAAACCTACACTCTCCTCCTTCCAGGTCAGAAAAAGGTGCAAGCCAGAGCGGTCTTTTACCCTCTGACAGGAAGAGGAGCAGCTGTCAGCATGTGCTATAGGACGTTACACATAGGATCAGGTAGGACATTCAGTCGCTGTGACTTTGACCCTGCTGCATTCTGTGCCCTGGCCCTGAGCCACTCTTAGGTTTCACCTTTGATGGGGAAAGTTTCACGTACTGACGTACTTTTTAAAAATCATACCAGTTCACCAAACTCCAGTCAATCATGTTTGATTTAGGTTAGACTCTTTCCTTATGACTAAAGTTTAGTAAGACCGAAGTAGAACATAGGTAGGACCCCATCATACCTGCTGTGTGGTGCCTGGCAAATGTCACCGTATAGCAAAATTGATGTTACATGTTGTAAGCTGTCATCTCTGCTGGTCATCCATCCATCCATCCATTTTCTTCCGCTTTTCCGGGGCTGGGTTGCGAAGGCAGCAGCCCAAGCAGAGAAGCCCAGACCTGCCTCTCCCCAGCCACTTCCTCCAGCTTGTCTGGGGGAATACCAAGGTGTTCCGAGGCCACCCGAGGGATGTAATCTCGGTCTGCCCCGGGGCCTCCTTCCGGTGGCACATGCCCGGAGCACCTCACCCAGGTGGCGCCCAGGAGGCATCCTTGTCAGATGCCCTAACCACCTCAACTGGCTCCTTTCGATGTGGAGGAGCAGCGGCTCTACTCTGAGCCCCTCCCAAATGGCCAAACTTCTCACCCTATCCCAAGTGAGAGGTCAGCCACCCTTCGGGGGAAGCCCATATCCGCCGCTTGTATCCGCAATCTCTTTTACACTCAGCTCTCTTCACCACAACAGACCTGTATAGCGTCCGCATCACTGCGGCCGCCGCACCAATCAGTCTGTCGATTTCCTGCTCCCGTCTCTCGTGAACAAGACCCCGAGATACTTAAACTTCTCCACTTGGGGCGGGAACTCGTCCCTGACCCGGAGTGGGCACTCTACCCTTTTTCGGCTGAGAACCATGGCCTCAGATTTGGAGGTGCTGATTCTCATTCCCACCGCTTCACACTCGGCTGCGAACCGTTCCGAGGGAAGCCAAAGGCTATCACCCGATGAAGCCAGCAGAAACAACGTCATCTGCAAAAAGCAGAGATGAGATCCTGAGACCACCCAAGTGAAACCCTTCCACTCCTTGGCTACGCCTAGAAATTCTGTCCTTAAAAATTATGAACAGAATTGGTGACAAAGGGCAGCTGTGGCGGAGCCCATCACCCACCAGGAACAAGTCCGACTTATTGCCGGCTATATGGACCAACGCAACGGTTGTATAGGGACTGAATGGCCCGTAGCAATGGGCCAGACGCCCCATACTCCCAGGACTCCCCGAGGGACGCAGTCAAATGCCTTCTCAAAGTCCAAAAAACACATGTAGACTGGTTGGGCAAATTCTCATGCACCCTCAAGTATCCTTGAGATGCTGAAGAGCTGATCCAGTGTTCCACGACCAGGACGAAAACCGCATTCTTCCTGTATCTGAGGTTCGACTAACAGACAGACTCTCCTTTCCAGCACCCTGGCATAGACTTTCCCAGGGAGGCTGAGGAGTGTGATTCCCCCGTAGTTGGAACACACCCTCCGGTCCCCGTTCTTAAAGATTGGAACCACCACCCCGGTCTACCAATCCAGAGGTATGGCCCCTGATCTCCATGCATTGTAGAGGTGTGTCAACCAAGACAGCCCTAAAACATCTGGAGCCTTCAGGAACTCAGGGTGGACCTCATCCAACCCAGGGGCTCTGCCACCAAGGAGTTTTTAACTGCTTCAGTGACCTCGCCCCCAAAGGAGGTCCTCGAAGTATTCCTCCACCGCCCGACAATTTTCTCAGTCGAAGTCAGCAGCACTCCACCCGCACTATACGCAGTGCAGGTCGAACACCGCTTTCCCCTCCTGAGTCGCCTGACGGTTTGCCAGTCCTGGCCGCCGCCTGACTCACAATGCACCCTACCCCTACAGTACCTCCTGCGGGTGGTGGGCCTGCAGGAAGATGGGCCCATGTCCCTCTTTCGGGCTGTGCCCGGCCGGGCCCCATGGCGGGGCCCAATAACCCTATCCCAGGCAGGGTGAACTGTTCCCTCGATGGTCTTGCCATAGGGGTCTTCCGAATCGCTCTTTGTCTGGTCCCTCAACCAAGACCAATTTGCCATGGCAGACCCTACCAGGGGGCAAAAGCCCCCAGGCAACATAGCCCCTGGGACACACAAACCCCTCCACCACAATAAGTTAGGGATTCGCAGAGGGGACTTCAACATTTTTATGATGCATCGTTCCATTGCTGCTGCAGCTGGGTTGAAGTCTGTTTTTAATGGCATCCTAACATCATATCAGTACAGAAGTTTAGAGATTCACAGGTTTCACAGAGGGAGATGTTGAAACTTTGAAACTTGGCTTTCAAATTCCTTGGCTTCCAACTTTGACTTCTTCTCCTTCTATACCAGCGCTGATTTGGAGGATGGGCAACACCTATTGTTCAGAAGAATACTGCAGCACATGCATGCACCGTAACAGCTAGCATGAATGGATATAGCATATAGCTGTGTGATGGCATTGCCGGTGATACGCAAAGTTGCCAACACAGCAGGTGTACCAGGGCCCCTGGTTTGGTGTCTTAGACCTGAGCTAATCACTCCTACAGATACAAAAATGGGAAGTGATGCAGAAGCAGTGTGTGGAAAAACTAACAACACCCCATCATTCATCAGCTTGCAGAACCACCAGACAGATTTGCTGACGTGCTTTGAGTCATTGCACTGCCTGATCCTAGGTGACTTTTTTTGGGACTTTAACTCTTGGGAAAGTTAGTTCTTAGACCTGTGAGGGTCACAACAGGACCATGTGGAATAAAAACTATGTCACATTGGAGTGCAGGTCATTAAAATACATTTTGACACGTCACTATTGCAGAAACAAAATCCATGTTGCAAATCTGTATTCTTTGTGTTGTGGGAAAGGGTGTTTAAGTCTTTAACTGTTTCTCTAAGGTGCTGACATGGATGTGTGCCTTACAAACTACGGTCACTGCAACTACGTATCGGGGAAACATGCCTGTATTTTCTATGATGAGGTGAGGCCTTTAAACTACATCACTCTGCAGAGCACTCCTGTGGTTGTTAGTGACCAAGATGTAAATTGTGTGTGTGTGTTTGTCGTCCTTCAGAATACCAAGCATTATGAGCTTCTGAACTACAGCGAGCATGGCACCACAGTGGATAATGTCCTGTACTCATGCGATTTCTCTGAGAAGACCTCACCATGTCCACCCGGTGGCCTGGTAGCCAAAGTCCAAGGAATCATTCGTAAGTACATCTCCGTCATCTGTTTGGATTGGCTTGAAGGAACCCAGGTCTGTGTGCCCAGTTTGATTTGGATTGCTGATGAGGTCGTCACTCATAGATTTTGTATGAACCTTTTATGAGTATCCATCCATCTTCTTCCACTTAGACACTCATCTGTATGTGTTCTGGTTAAAACAGTTAAAATTTTATTTGTGAAGAAATCATAACATCATTGCTTCTGTAAATTTAAGGAATACTTTAATTTATACTCTAATACTGAAAAGAATCATTTTTAGTTTGGCTAGAATTTCAGGAAGTGTAGCCCCCCCATGTGCTTAATGTCAGTGTCCTGTTTGTTACACTGACACTGCTCCTGCAGTATCGGTCAGCTTTTAGTGTTCTTCATCCAAATTGTGGTCAAGGTCACATTTGTCATTCTTAATGGGTACATGTAATTAGTTTGTGTAGAGAATCGGTTCTCCGTCTGTTGTAGGTTCTGGTTAGAGTGCCAGCTTGAAGTGCAGGGAAAAAAACAAACCATGAGTTTGGTGTTGGAGTTCATCTCCATCCATAATGGCGATCTAGCCAGCGAGCCTGCTGGTAGAGAAAACACCAAATGGGAAAGAACGGGCTGGCTTATTATTATCAGTTGCAATTTCAAGGTAAAAGTAAGGATGTAGTAAACGTACAGTACAGTGGTAAACTTGGTGCATGTGGCATTGTAGCAATGAGAAAGGTAAATAAATAAAGTGCTAAAATGAGCAGTCAGATATACTTGTTCTGTGGCAGACCACGTTACGTAAAATCTGAATGTTGCTGGTATCACATAAAGCTTCCAGTCTTAATCTGTTATTAAAGATCATTTGGACAGATGTTTAATTAGTAAAGAGCTGCAGTGTGAAACAGCATTAAATCAAATTTCTCTGAAAGTGTTTATAGATGATGAGTGTAAAACATGTTTGCCAGAGTTCAGCTTTCCACATGATTTTAGTCTCATTTTCAAAACAA